GTAGGACCCGCTCTGATACCATGTGAAAATAGGAAAACAGGAATGAATGAACTATGAATGAAAGCAGTACAAATATGAAACCCTAACTGGGTTGTACCCCCTATGGGATACCCCACTACAGCCTACACATCAGTATAAGCTATAGATATGTTCTGACATCGACAACAGGACGCCTCGCCGCGAGTCACTCTAACCGAATCCGACGTACGCCGCCATCGCTCAAAGCGAACCGTCTGGGCAAGACACCTGGTTCTTGGACAGTTGCTGCGGACAACATATGTGCTCCTCGGGACGCTTCGTTCAACGCGAACATCGACTCCAGCGAGTAGTCATCACGGTCGCCAACAACCAGAACCTGCGCACACAACGACAAGGAGTAGTTCAGCTTCAATCAAGAGAGACAAACGTCATACTGCACATGTCAAAGGTACTCATCGCAGAAGGACTCGGTTATAACTTACTGAGTGTCAGCCAGCTGATGGCGAAAGGCATCCACATAGAAGCCGACAGCACCACCCAGGAGTTTAAACTGTACCACGGGAAGGGCGGCCTCTACATCGGAAGAGCAGTTTTGAAGAACAACGTCTTCGTCCTCGATTTCGTCCCCGACCTTGGCACTGCAGATAGCGACGCCATCGTCAACTTCGCCGATTGGACACATCCCCCGGATCTCAATCCCTACTTAGCCCGGGAGGTTTCTAATACTCGCCACACCATCCCTGAAGCAGAACGAACACGAGGGTTAGCAACAATTCAACAAACGGCAGTAGCAGAGACAACATCGACAGCAGTAGAGACAACATCGGCAGCAGCAGAGACAACATCGGCAGCAGCAGAGACAACATCGACAGCAGCAGAAACATCATCGGCAGCAGCAGGACGAACGACACCAGTCATCGTCCACGAAGCACCACCAACACCCGCACAGCAACTGAACCCGACTCAACGAGAAGTCCACAGAAGCGCCAATGTCGTCGCCAGCTTCTACTCAACTCCGACGCGTATCAACGCTCACCCGGACATCGCGCTCCTGAAGACATCTGGCACGCACGCACAGGACATCCAAGCAACACAGTATTAAATAACAGAATACGAGCAGGAGTTCTCGACAAAGATTCGCTACTACCACCCGACGGCAGAGAACTTCAACAGGCACGAGGAACTTGCCTCATCTGCCCCGAAGCCGACTTACCCCATCGACCGTTTTCTTCTCACCACAACCCGAGCGCACCTGCATACGCACCACTCGAGAAAGTATACAGCGACATCCTCTTCAATCGAGAACCAGGACAAGTCACCTACAATTACACAATAACCTTCATCGACGCCGCCACTCGATACGTCTGGCATCGAAACCTACCCAGCCGCGACATGGCACTCGCAGCGTTCGCCGCTTGGCTACCGGTAGCAGAGAGGGAGTCAGGAACACAGCTGAAAAGCTTCCAGTCAGACGGAGGAGGAGAATACACCTCTCAGCGCTTCAAGCAGTACCTGGCGGAAAGGGGAATCAAGCAAATCCTCTCCCTTCCCTACGCCATCAGCAGCAAGGTGTTGCAGAAAGAATGAACAGGGATCTGCAGAACAGCATGCGCAAACTGCTACGTGGCATGCGGCTACCCAACCACCAGTGGCCTTGCAGCAATGGACCATGCTGTCATGCTGCACAACTTGCTGTCGTCGTCGTCACTCCCGAACAACGCATCACCGCATCTGCTGTGGACAGGAAAGCATGGCAGCACAAGAATGTTACGAGTTTTCAGATGCATGGTGCATAGTACCGACCCCCAGAAGCACGAGCGGGAAGATTTTCACAACAGGCACAGTGGGGACTACACCTCGGCATCGAGAAAAATTACAACGCGTGGAAAATTTTCGATGTCCACTCAAAGGAAACAGTAGCAGCACGTGATGTGATCTTCTACGAGCGACTCACCCTTCAAACGTACCTCGCCAACTTTCACGCGAATCAGGACCCCACAGGTGGTTTTCATGGTGACCGAGCCTTCGCCTCAGCAGCGGACGAAGCAGACTGGGATGAACAGAATGTCGACAACGCATCGGAAGAAACCGGACCTCTCCCGTACTGCTCCGTCGACGTGCCCCATGGACGAAGACAATCCTCGCGATAGTGTCAACGCCGAAGTCTTCTATCACTTCGCCGACAACGGTTACGTAACACCTGCGACAGTCAACACAAACGAAGCAGAACGGATAGGGCCAAATTTCATACCCGATCCAGAAGCGGGAGACGAAGCAGCTTATCCTGAGGATCCAACACTCCCCCGCTACTCACAGATTGGACTGCAAATCCTCGGCCTCGTCACTGCAGTCCACGGCAACGTACTTCCTAAGGAGCCTGCGACGGTTCAGCAGGCTCTAGGGGGGGAACACAGGGAGAAATGGCGCGAAGCCATGGACAGAGAGTTAAAGGCACTGGAGGAACGCAACACTTGGAAGGTCGTTCCCGCAAGCGTGGCAAGGAACAAGACCATTCTCACCGGGAAATGGGTCTTCCGCATCAAAACGAAAGCAGACAGCACAATCGAGAAGTTCAAAGCACGCTGGGTCGTGCGTGGATTTGACCAAGAGCAAGGACGAGACTCACCGAGACATTCGCCCCAGTTAGTCGACATACCTCTCTTCGAATTCTTCTCGCCGTTGCCGCCATGAAGAAAGAAGAAACCGCGACAAATCGATGTCGCCAACGCATTTCTCTACGCACCCGTCGACGCCAAAATCTTCGTCGAACTCCCACACGGTACCCACGGAAACCCCAATCAGGTCTGCCAGCTATGAAATCGCTCTACGGAACAAACAAGCCCCGCGGCTGTGGTAACAGCACCTACACACCCGACTCACTCGCATCGGATTCCGCCAACTGCCGCACGACCAATGAATGTTATCGATTCACTAAAGACGCCGATTACATCCTACTGATCGTCTACGTCGACGACCTACTCTACATCGGCTCCACCGACGACATCACCACCTGGTTCGAAGGGGAGCTGCAGAAGGACCTCACGCTCACGGTTTCTTCTACCTGTCACCCAGTACCTCGGGCTCAACATCCGCGAAGAAGAAAATGCTATCTACTTAAGCGCCGAGAAATACGCCGACACTATCGCCAAGCGCTTCTCGCTCACACCTACCGCTATCACCACGCCATACCGCTACACGACAGGAAGTAACAAAGGAAATTCCGCTCCACTCAAAGCTGCGGAATACGAGACTACCAGAGGAAACTGGGCTGCCTCCTCTCGCAGCCGTCACCTGCCGCCCGGATCTATCCTACTCCGCAAGCCAACTCGCTACCTACCTCAAGAACCCGAAGCAGAGCACCTGGCGGAGCCGATCGCGCACTACACTACTTCGTGAGCACTCCGACGATCGGCATCTGACTTACTACAAAAACGAAACTACGACCACGAAACTAATCGGCTACGTCGATGCGATCATGCCGGCGATTCTAACAATAGGCGCTCTCGCACTGGCTACGTCTATCGTCTCGAGCCTATCGGACCTATCTCATGGCAGTCGAGCAAGCAGGAACTAATCGCTCTCTCTTCAGCTGAAGCAGAATATATCGCCCTCTGCTCAGCCACCAAGGAAGGACTCTACCTTCGCGAGCTGCTGGAAGAAGCAAAGTTAGCCGAGTTACCCAATTTCACCCTATTCTGCGACAACCAATCTGCAATTCGCATCGCCAACAAAAGCGTGATTCCGCGAACAGAACGAAGCATATCACTCTGCGATACTTCTTCGTGAAAGACGAGATCGAGAAAGGGAAACTCGATTTATCCTATTGTCCCACGTCCGAGATGGCAGCCGATTACTTGACCAAGAAACTCGGGAAAACAGAATTTCAAGTACTGCATGCTGCTGACTGGACAAGGCCACTCACCATTAGCGACACTCCAGAAGCGAAGGGGAGTGTTGGGAACAATAAGTCTTAAAGCGCCTCTGTCGTGTCGAAACTCAGGACACAAGCGAAGCAGTCCAAATCGAAGCATCCGCGACGTCAACCCTCGGAGGTTAGGGTAACCGCATGGAGGTTACGCGAAGGTCAAAAGTCAGCGACCTTTGACTTGACAAATACAGCGCGACAGCAAGGACACACAACTGACTCGACATTGAGCAGTTGCCCGAGTCGCACTGTATCGAATCGCAACAGCAAAACAGTTTAAATATATCTATTCGGATTCCTTGTACTCTTATATAAAGGCTTGTATTTGCTTGTTTAATCAACTCACTTTTGCCCTCACATACTAGCGCAAGGTAGTTCAAGGACTTTTATTCAAACGCTTCCGCTATTACAATCCTACTCAGACTTTAACTCTACAAAGATCCTAGGGCATCTCAGCCAGGGCTAATTTTTGGTTTCCAGCAACCCTTGTGATCAGTGTTGCACAAGTCAAAACCTGATTATCAGTGTGACACCTTGTTCAAACCCTGATCCACCAGGGTTTTCCTAGTTTTTGAAAATTATACCCTGTAGGATCAGTGTACCAGTTTGCAAACCCTGGTGTATTGATACCCGTATTATCGTTGGCAGGCAATAACGAAAATGTATTTCTGGCCAATGGAGGCCCCCCTCGTGCCAGCTCAGAGATGTTGCCTTTGCCAAATATCAGTTTCGCCAGTTGGCATGCGAGAACCTCGATACGGGAAAGGGGGGGTGGGGTTAGAGAGGGGGCTGGGGGTGGGGCGGCTCGGGGAGGGTATGTACTCGATTGAGGGTAAAACTCGTTACGTAAGATCGGTAACCCTGGGCCGTCAGCGTACCTCAAACGTAAACCCTGGCCTATCAGGAAAATACAAGCTCCCGAAAAAATTACCCTAAGGCATCAGTGTGACAGCCAAAAACCACCCTGATTATCAGGGTATCAGGGTGATTTACCCTGATAAAATTAGCCCTGATCTCAGCCCAGCATGAATTTACAACAGAGTCGATCCAAAACTCCAACACACCCGCATTTGTGCATTACAATGCAGCAGCAGCATCAGTGCGAGCAAACAGCACGGTGCTCCCATCCCCCATCACATGCCACCTTCTTCAGCCCCCACGCCGCAAACGTCTCCTCGCACTTCTGCCGCCTCTTCGCCCCGTCCCTCCCCGCCAGCTCAGCGTGGAACATCACCGCCACCTGGCCAATAGGAACGCTCCCTGGTGTGGGCCCCACAGGGGTCTTCTCGGCCAATGCTGCAGCACCATGTTGCGTCAGATCTCCCACACTCGTGCTGAACGCATCTCCCCCTCCTAACCCCCCTCCCCCTCCTCCTGCTGCTGCTGCTGTTGCGGCATTCTCGCACAGATCGAGCTCGAGCCCGGCAATATCCAGCCGTAGGATGTCGATCCAACGGTGGGAGTGCATGCACATAAACGTGCGCAGGCGGAGCACTGCCGATTCCCGCGTCTCTTGAGACAAGGAGGAGGTGTCAGCAGCAGCAGAAGATGCAGAGAATGAGGGGGAGGAGGAGGAAGAGGAGGAAGTGGGAATGGGGTGGAAGAGGGCGACCCCGTCTCGAGGCCCGAGGGCAAAGGGGCGGAACTGGGGGGAGCGGCGGGGGGGGAGAGGCCCTTGATGGGTTGCAGCATGGAGGCAAAGGCGGTGTCGTTGACGAAAGGGTCGAACACAAACACCTGGACGAGGGAGGGGGGACGGGAAACGATTGGATTGTGGCAATGAGAAAGCGGCACTGTTGACGCCTAGACGGAAGAAATACACCTGCAGGAGGGCCCTTGATGGGCTGGAGCAGGGAGGAGAAGGTGGTGTCGTTGACAAAACAAGTACACGACTCCTCTTGGACGCAGGTGGTTATACAATACACACACAACACCCCTTCCCATCTCACACATCCCCTGCCCCGCCCTCTCAGAGGCATTACGTTACGCCTCTGAACATAATGCCTCCTCAGGAGTCTGGGCTCGTTCGTTCGACCCCTACCTCCCTCCCCCCTTCCGGGGCCCCCATTCCACATACAACCGCCTCACCTGCTGTCCTCTCAAGGTCATTTCGCATTCAAATGTGAAGGTTCAGGCCCACACCAAACGAGTGGGCCCTCTTGGACGCAGGTAATCCAATCACACCACACAATACCCCTTCCCATCTTACACAACCCCTGCCTCACCTGCTGTCCTCTCAAGGTCATTTCGCATTCAAATGTGAAGGTTCGGGCCCACACCAAACGAGTGGGCCCTCTTGGACGCAGGTAATCCAATCACACCACACAATACCCTCCCCATCTTACACAACCCCTGCCTCACCTGCTGTCCTCTCAAGGTCATTTCACATTCAAATGTGAAGGTTCGGGCCCACACCAAACGAGTGGGCCCTCTTGGACGCAGGTAATCCAATCACACCACACAATACCCCTTCCCATCTTACACAACCCCTGCCTCACCTGCTGTCCTCTCAAGGTCATTTCGCATTCAAATGTGAAGGTTCGGGCCCACACCAAACGAGTGGGCCCTCTTGGACGCAGGTAATCCAATCACACCACACAATACCCCTTCCCATCTTACACAACCCCTGCCTCACCTGCTGTCCTCTCAAGGTCATTTCGCATTCAAATGTGAAGGTTCGGGCCCACACCAAACGAGTGGGCCCTCTTGGACGCAGGTAATCCAATCACACCACACAATACCCCTCCCCATCTTACACAACCCCTGCCTCACCTGCTGTCCTCTCAAGGTCATTTCACATTCAAATGTGAAGGTTCGGGCCCACACCAAACGAGTGGGCCCTCTTGGACGCAGGTAATCCAATCACACCACACAATACCCCTTCCCATCTTACACAACCCCTGCCTCACCTGCTGTCCTCTCAAGGTCATTTCGCATTCAAATGTGAAGGTTCGGGCCCACACCAAACGAGTGGGCCCTCTTGGACGCAGGTAATCCAATCACACCACACAATACCCCTTCCCATCTTACACAACCCCTGCCTCACCTGCTGTCCTCTCAAGGTCATTTCGCATTCAAATGTGAAGGTTCGGGCCCACACCAAACGAGTGGCCCTCTTGGACGCAGGTAATCCAATCACACCACACAATACCCCTCCCCATCTTACACAACCCCTGCCTCACCTGCTTTCCTCTCAAGGTCATTTCACATTCAAATGTGAAGGTTCGGGCCCACACCAAACGAGTGGGCCCTCTTGGACGCAGGTAATCCAATCACACCACACAATACCCCTTCCCATCTTACACAACCCCTGCCTCACCTGCTGTCCTCTCAAGGTCATTTCGCCTTCAAACAGAAGGTTCAACCTCATTCGTCCTCACATTCCCCGCCCACCCCCTCTTCCACCCCACTCCACCCCACCCCACCTCCTCCCCTCACCTGCTGTCCCCGCAAGGTCATTTCGCCTTCAAACAGAAGGTTCGGGCCCACTCCAAACGAGTACACGACTCCTCTTGGCCTCAGGTGGTCAGAACATACGGGCCACACGATTCCCTCGCCTTTTTCTTTCGCCTGCCCGGGCTGCCCGCCGATGTATTCCAGCTTGCAGGAGGGGAAGCGGCGGCGCAGAAAGAACTCGACGTCCTCTGCTGTTGTGACTCCTTCTTTTTTTTCTGCCCGGGGTCTGAGAGGAGGTGTCTGGGGGGCAGGTGGAAAGGTGAGAGGAGGTGGAGACACAATTGACATTTGTTTGGTGGGAAATGCGGAGAAGGGGGGAGTGAGGGTGGAAAGCAGGGGGGCGTGAGAGGCAGGGGGAAGTGGCGGAGAAAGGCAGGGGGGTGGGGGGGGGAGGGGGGTGTGAAAGGGGACGGGGAGGCGGAGACAGGGCCAAATGTCAGAGCATTGTTTTGAATGTACCAGGAAATAGCGTATTGAGACGACTTGGAAGGCGAATGGCATAGCGACAAGTCAAGAATCCATACACATGGAGAACGGGTGGAAGGGAAGGGAGTGAGAGCAGCGTACATTCCCACCCTCCCCACCTTCCACTCCCTCCCCACCCTCCCCACCCTTCCCATCCTCCCCACCTTTCCCCATCCTCCCCATCCTCCCCACCCTTCCCCACCTTCCCCGCGACCCCATCGCATCGCTCCGCTCTGATCCACCGTCGCTCCTCCCCGCCTCCCCGTTCGGAGGACCTTCCAATCCCAGTTTCGCCTGCTCCGCCGCGGAAACGGGCTCGGCGCGCTCCGACCATTCGCGCTCCTGATGCTGCTGTTGCTGCGGCTGCTGCTGCTGCTGCTGTTGGTGCTGCTGGTAACCGTCGGATGCGGAGAAAATGGACGACGGCGGATACACGACTAGCGTGCGGAGCGAGTAGGCCTGCACGGTGACGAAGAGAACGAGCAGCACGTGCCACGGGAGGATCGCTGGGATCGCACTATCTAATTTCGCCGGGATCGCAAGATCTAATTTCGCCGGCTGGTTACCCGCTGCGCCTCGGTGATCCGTTTTCGTCGGCCCATGATTCCTGAACGAATGCATGGTCAAAGAGTGAGATTAAGAGGAACGAATCTCACTATCTCATTGGCTGCCTTGCGAAGTCTTTAGTATCTAAATATTTGCTGGTCTGTTTGTCGTGGCCTGTACTCGTAATGATAGCGGAGTTAATGTGGGACGTGGTCAATGAGGGCTTCTGGAAACCCCACGTCACTAGAAATACTACGTCCAGCTAAGGGCGTGTCTCTTTTTTTCCCTCGACGGTTCGAACCGTGGACGGTCCGAACTGCGAAAAAATTACCGGTTTCGCAGAGTTCGTAATTGATTTCGTGATAGTACTTGCGAAGTCGCCAACGGTACGAGCTGTCGCGTCACTTTTCCCTCCTCCCAACGGTTCAGAATTTGAACCTTCCGCAGCTCGAAAAGCAAACGGACGGTGCAGCAGTACTGACTAAATATTGGCTCGCGAGTTTTTTTTTCCTACACGGAATCGATTGGCGCACAATTTTGCGGAGAAAATGTCGCGACCTGTGTAACGACGATACAGTGCCCATTACGAAGCTACAGTACTTCGTGAGTTCATGGTCCATGAAAAAGTGACAGAATTGCATCTGGACGGGGGAAAGTTCCGAAATGGCAATTCGGACAGTCGGCTCCTCGCTATTTGGACCGTCCAGTACCAAAAAAGAGAACCGTCCGGAAAATGCAGAAAATATAAAAAGAGACACGCCCTAAGGGCCGTGATGTTGGAGTTCTGAAGTGGTTTAGAACTTGTGACGACAGATTTTAAAATTGAATATATTTTGTAATGCCTCATCGCTTTGAACCGCTACTCACCTGAGTTGAAACTATCGATACACCAGCAAACGCTGCCTTCCGAACCACCCGCCACCAACTTCCAACCTATTACCACGCTGTAGAAGTTTCCAGTTTCAGTTAGAGGCCGTTAACATAAACAGACATGTACTACAGTTAACTTGCTATAGCGGTGCTACTGTATCATCATTTGGTCATAAACATTTGTTTCTCAAGCTTTCAATCGGCCATGATTTGTTACATACATTCTTGCAGTTTCTTCGAAAAAACCACAAATAATTTCATGATTTTTTGAACGTATATCATACATGCAGTACAGTACTTGCAGGAAAACATGCGATCGGAGGCAGACAAACTGTTTGAACTCCGAGCGAGAGAGAAGAGAAGAGGCATATACACACATGATGAAAACATCCTGCAATCCCACCTTCCGAGCGGCAAGGATACACCGATACCTAGCAGCACGCCTCTAGCACAGTGACATCCCCCAGTCCACCACAATAGACAGAGGGTAGTAGACAGCATGCTGGAGTGAGGAGAGTAGCGGGTGGACAGGGACAAGGCAGATCAAGCTGCAGTGGCTGTGGCAAGTGCAGGAGCTGAGCAGAGTCCAAGCGTGGTAGACAGGTGCTCGACAGGAGACGACAAGGCAGATCAAGCTGCAGTGGCTGTGGCAAGT